AATCATGAATGTTCAACTACTAGCAAACATAAACTCATGCACGTTGACAGAATGTTCTGTAAGGTGTCTGAGGCTCTGCACATTAGAAAACACCTGGCAAGTTATCACAGCATCAAGCATTTCGAGAAAAACCCTCCTCGGATAGACCAGACAGGAAGGGAAAGGGAGCTGTAAGAAAGCTGCAGTGTGGTGTGATTACAGCTGCTCTGGTGGTCATTCGTTCAGAATGGTGTAGAAGTGGTCATGGAGACTCATTTTTCTTGCCTGTCAGATATGTCATCAGACTTGTATATAGTATCCTAGGACTTGGCCTTCTATCAGATAATATATTTATTGCCTACTAAAACATAGTGGCATAGCTTAGGAAAATGGAAAGTTTTCTGGTATCTTTAAAAAATGTGAAGTTGATTTAAACAAAGACTATGTAAAAAATTGTAAATTATGGATAAAATGCAGAAATACAAGAAGGTAATCCAAAAATTAGTTTGAAATAAAATATGTAAATTGCATAGAATGTAGCGATTTTATTCAAGTCTATCAGGATCAAATGGTATTGTATAAGTGCAGTTCCATATTGTATCATCAGAAAAGAAATAGAATAGAACTGGAAAGAGTATTGAGAAGGATGACAAGAATGATTAAAGGTATGAAATATCCTCTAGTCTGTAGAATATTTCCATAAATATGGTGAATAGAGAAAAACTTATTACTGTTTTTTTTCTCCATAAGAACTGGAGGACATGAAGTGAAAACAGTAGGTGTTGAGTTCAAAGCAGACAGAGAAATGACTTCACATATTACATAAATAAATTGTGCAACTGCTTGCACTATTTATATTTTGTGGATTTAATGCATATACATGGGTTCAAAATAGGACTGAATAATTCCGCTGAAGAAACAGCCTTATGGGATTTAAAATATAAAGAACATTGCTAGCCTAAGAGTGGCTTAGCTACAGTTGAATTGAGGCCTTAATTAACTGCATGCTTGCAACAATCTTCTGTTCTTCACTAGAAAATCATTACTGGCCAGTGCTAGAGATGGAACACTGGGTATATTGTGTAGTATATGGAATTTTTGATCTGATTCAGAAATACATGTTTCCTCCCCTAAGATATTTAGGTTTTCAGAATGCATCATGAGTACTTTCAAATATTTATCTATAAGTAAACACCATAAAGATGATCATTAAAACCACAACTTTTAAATTATCTACAAATATTTCATATGATCCAGAAGAAATCTTCATAAATATAAGGCAGGGTTTCAGCATTAAATAGGAGTTAAATTCAACATTTATCTCCATTGTAATACTGGAGAGGTTGGAATAGACATACACTCAAGTAATTCTATTTTTCAGAAAGGAAAATTGCATTTATTTAAAGATACAACTTGTCTGAAGAAAGGAAATCAGTTGCATTAAAATTTATCTAAAAAAAATCCGCTCTTATTTCTGTCCAAAATAACTGTGTCAGAATCTTTACTCTAATGTCTCCAATAGTATTGTCTTCTGTCTCTGAATCACTCAGATGGCACTTTTTTTTTTTATCAGATTAGCTCTTTTGATGTCCTCCTTCCAACAAAGTTTTGCTACCTTCACATGAAAAGAATACATGACTGAAAAACATTAACAGGTGGTATTCTTCTCAGACAGAACTGTATTATTTAATCTTCTAAATGAAAAAAAAAACAAACAACCAAAACCCATCGTGTACTAAAGATGTTCCTAAAAATCAGTTAGAAACAACTTATAGAATAACAAAATTCTAGTAACTTTAGTTTATGGGGTATTTTGGAATAACAATAAATAACAAATACAAGAAAGGGAAGAAATTCACAAAATCCACAAAGTGAGGGAAATACAGAGCTGCTAGTATTCATCTGTGCATTGGGTTTGTATGAAAGGGTTTTGGTAGTGAGAGGCTTGCAGGGGTGGCTTCTGGGAGAAGCTGCCAGGAGCTTCCCCTGTGTTTAATGGACACAGGTACCAACCGGTTCCCAAGATGAACTTGCCACTGGCCAAGGTCAAGCCTATCAGCTACAGTGGCAGTGTCTATGTGATACCACATTTAAGAAGGGAAAAAAACCCCCACACAGCAGCAGGCACAAGAGAGGAGTAAGAATATGTGAGCGAAACAATTCTGCATATACCAAGGAGGGCGAGGTGCTGGAGCAGAGATTCCTCTGCTGCTTGTGATGAAGACCACAGAGAGGCAGGCTGTGTCCCTGCAGCCCATGAAGGTCCACAGTAGAGCTTACAGAATCATAGAATCATAGGATTTTTTTGGTTAGAAAAGATCTCTAAAATCCTTGAGACCACTATTCGTCTAACACTAAGTCCACCACTAAACCATATCAAGTGCCACATCAACACATCTTTTAAATAGCTGTGAAGATGGTGAGTCATCCACTTCTCTAAGCAACCCATTCCTACCCTTTGCAAGCCTTTCGGTGAAGATATTTTTCCTGATATCCAATTTAAACTTCTATGGTGCAACTTCAGGTATTTTCTCTTGTCCTATTACTTGTCACCTGGGAGAAGAGACTGATCCCAAACTCACTACTCCTTTAAGGTAGAAAGCAATACTCATCCTCCTTTTTTCCAGGCTAAGCACCAGTTCCCTCAGCCATTCCTCATAAGACTTGTCCTCTAGACCCTTCACAAGCTTCATTCCTCTTTGGAAATGCTGCAGATACCATCTGCAGCCTGTGTAGGACTCCAGGCTGGAGAAAGTGGATGCTTGAAGGAGGCTGTGATCCCATGCGAAGCTGCCCTAGAGCAAACTCCTGGCAATACATGTTCCCCATGGAGAGAGGAACCCATGCTGGAGCAGGTTTTCTAGCATGACTTGTGATCCCACAGGGGACCCACACTGGAGCAGTCTGTTCCTGAAGGACTGCGCCCCATGGAAGGGACCCACACTGGAGCAGTTCATGGAGAACTGCAGCCTATGGGAAGGACTCACACTGGAGAAGTTTATGGAGGATTTTTTGCTATGAAAGGGCACCTATGCTAGAGCAGAGGAAGAGTTTGAGTAGTCCCCCTAAGAAGAAAGAACCAGCAGACACAATGTGAATTGACCACAATCTCCATTCCCTGCTCCATTGTGCTTCTGCCAGGGAGGAGGTACTGAAAATCTGGAGTGAAGCTGAGCCTAGGAAGAGAAGAGAAGTGGGGGGAAGGTGTTTTTAAGATTTGATTTTATTTTCTTAATTTGATTTTTTTTTATTTAATTTGATTTAATTCTTATTTTAACTCTGATTTGATTGTTAATAAACTCAATTAATTTTCCCCAAGTTGAGTCTGTTTTACCCATGGCAATAATTGCTGACTGATCTCTCTTTTTATCTTGTCTCAAGAGCTTGTCATTATATTTTGTCTCCCTTGTCCAGCTGAGGAAAGGAGTGACAGTGTGGCTTTAGTGGTCACCTGAAATCCAGCCAGGGTCAACCCACCACAGTTAACAATGTCTGAAACGGCTGCAAAGAAACATCAATACGGTCAGAGAAAGCCATGAGTTTGCACAGCATCTGCAAGACCTGTTGGAAATAATCTGTTTTTTATACATGGCTAATCATTTTCAGAGGCTCCTAATATCTCTGTAGATTTTATGATAACTGTTCAGTTTACTTTAGGTTTTCAGTTTTCATTGACACTAATTGACATAGTCAAGAGTTAAGTTACTGCTGTTACTGTCAACTGAAAACTGAAGTCTGGATGTGCAGTATAATCATCTTATTAAAATATAATTGGATCAGATAAATACATTGATTGAAGAAAAAACCCCTAAAAATTAATAAGTATTGAGTTATCTGATCAAGAAAGATATAGAAATACACAATTTTATCATTACTTTATTTTATGGTGAGGGTCTTGAAGTGAATAATAACTCTTCCACTCAAAACAAAGACATGGAGTCCCTGACTCTGAATCTGTTACAGATCCAAGCTAATTGTATGAACGAGTTAAGAAAAGGGAGGTAAAACCCCCCACTTGGGTATGGGTGGTCATGTGAATAAATTTCTTATAGGTGCATTAAATATATTATGACACTAATAAAATAATACAGCTTGTACTATTGAATTCTTCATTAATTTTTAAATCATGGAAATAGAGAACAAGGGCAACAGGAAAGAAGATGTGCAAACAGCTCTTAATAAAGCATCACAATGATTGCTGTGCTTCCAGCACTGCCTGTTGAGCACATGGATGTTTTTACCTCATGCTGTAGAAGATGCTCTAATTACCTACTACAGACCAAAACTAAGCCTGGATAATATGCTATGAACATTAGACCTTCTGTTAACTTTTTTAATTCCTTAAAATTTTAATGATGGCATCTCATCACTAACTTTTATTTTCCAAAGAAAATGTTGAGTTACTTCAGGACAAAATTCTACAAATGCTTTCTTGATCACTTTTCATAATTTCAAAATCTTTTTTTCATCCAATATTTAAAAACCAACCAAAATAAAGACAAAAACAAACAACAGCTGTTGAAAAACAAAATTTGGAGGACTGAGTACACATTTCCAAGATGAACAAATTGTGTATGAATACACATCTAAAAATTATTCATATTTTTTAATTCCTTGTTTGAAATACTATGTCACCATATTTTTGAAAGCATAGAGGATAGATTCTCATTACATTTTGAAAGCTTAATTTAAATTCATATTTTTAAAATTCTTCAAGAGTTAAAAGAAATCTTTGGTTTTATAAGAAGCAATATAAAATATATTAAATGATTTTTAGAAATCAGTGTTTCATTAATGGTGGAGTTAAATATTTAAAACCACTTTTCTTTTGATTCTAAAGCATGTATGTGCCTGTGCAATATCCTTAAAGACCAATATATGACAATGTGTGCATCTCTTAAATATTAGAGAAATAAATGGAAAATTTTCTTTTAATTTAAGGAAAAGGTAGTGCCTAAAAATTTGATGCTTTCTGTAGGATGCACACTAATGATATACAGACCACATAAGCATATATTTACCTTCACAAGATGGAGAGGATCCTTCAAACTGCAACTGTGCATTCAGTTTGCAGGTTAATATATCTTGTCCAACAAGGGTGAAACCAGGATGGCACCTGTACTTCACAAAATCTCCTGGAAAAATTATTGACAAAAAAAAGTTAAACCCCCAAAATCCTTCAAACAGAAGTATATCAAAATCTCAGATGGAAGATGAAATTTATTAATAGCTTAGTTTATTTAGAATTCAAGTGAAAACAGAAGAAAGAAAAAGAAATACCATTTGTTTACCTATTTCAAAATCATCATCTTCTGTAAACAAATCTGCATGTGGAACTGTGGGTGGAGGTTGGCACTTCCTCAGCTGATAAGCTGTAAATTTAAGTGAAAAAAACCAAAAATGATGTGTTAAGGACTATTTTACAGAAAATTCATTTCACACTCATACTTCCCAAATTACCAGAGCTCCACTGAAAACCTCACAATTTCAGTTACAACTTTTTCCAAGTTAAATGTCATGACATCACATGAGGGTGGTGAGGCACTGGAACAGACTGCCTAGAGGAACTGTGGTTCCCTGGAAGTGTACTAGTCCAGCCTGGATAAGGTTTTGAGAAACCTGGTCTAGTGGGAGATGTTCCTACCCATGGAAGGGGTTTGGAACTAAATGATCATTAAGGTCCCTTAAAATGTAACTCAAAATCTCTACTCTTCACATTTGTTTCTTATAATAAATTGTGAGCAATCTCATAAGGAAAGTGACCACTAGCTGAAAAAGCCATTTCTGGATTAAAAAAATCCAAATGAAGTAGCATGCCTACAAAATTTAAGTTTGTGATTAGAGCACACACACTAAAGAAAAACTCTCCTCTCCATTGAACTAATTTCCTGGACAACTTGACAGTCCTATACACTTTAGTTTTTGCTTCTCAGGTAAGTGCTTTAGGTGACCATGCATCATGACTTTCTTTTAGGAGAAAAACACAGAAAAGAAAACTATTTCAGACTCTGAGTAACAATTCTGTAAGGACTTCCCTTTGCAAACAGGTATCTTCAGGTACTCTGTTTCTGTGGCATTTCGTCCTGCCCTTGTGAATCAATTCACTCTATCTTTTTGAAAAACAGTCCAGATGCCCAACAATCTCCCACTGAATATATATAATTTGGGTAACTTAGAACTAGAACTGAAATTCAGCATTTAGATGCCTAATTTGCTCAACCTGTAACCTTGAATGTAACTTTGAACAAAGTATTTTGCTAGATATCAGTCTTTGAGCTATTGTTCAGTCCTACCCAAGCATCCTAGAAATCTCTCTGACCATAAGCCCTAGGCATGGTCAGCTGGAGAACAATTTTATTAGAGAATGTTAAATGCTAACTAATATATAGGCCAAAGTAATTAAAAAGGTAAAAGATTAATATTAGATAGTGACAATTAACATTAAGGATAGGAAACAGTTTATTCAAAGCTACAAATTAATATTCTTAAGATTATTAATTGTGTGATTTTAAAAACTAGTTTTTACTGTTATTTAGAAAAAAAATAGCAAGTCCTTGAATCCTGGTAAATCAGTAAATCACAAAGTTAAGAAATATTTTCAAAAATCACTAATTGACCATGGTAAATAGGTGTTAACTCTACATAGGAAACCAACCATGAAAATTGAGGACAAAGAATCCTCCTGTTGAAAAATCACTGTGAAATTTGAGGAGGACTTGATTGGTGGAACTATAAGCTGTTTCCAGAGCTGTGTTCCCACTGAAAACTCCTAGCTGAGGCGAATTATGGTCAGGACCATCCCTAGGAAATGAAACATAAAAAAGTTAGCTGAAAAATCACCGTTCCTAAGATTTAAATTAACAGTCTCTTTTTTTCTGGAGAGCAGGTTAAATTTTTGTAACAAAAATTATTTTAATGATTTTAAATTAGTTTGTTTTCTTTTTATTTCTAGTAACACAGAATAATCTTTCCATCTTAAAAGGATTATATTTTTTGAGAGATCAGGAGTTTTGTAAGATTTCATGGTTAACTGAAATTGCAATGTGTGTTCTCATCAAAAATTCTCATGTACGCATCAGCCAAAGCTCCACTCCCCCCCCCAAAAAAAAAAACCAAACTAGAAAATTCTTGTAACGTTATCATATTTCTAACATTTTTGACCCACATCCTTCAAGTCTTCAACTCATGACTGATACAGAGTTGTGGAAATATTCAAGTTACTCTTGTCTTTTAAATTAATCCCAAAGATGCCAAAGAGGATAATCTATGATGCATTTTAGGCTTGGTTTTATAGGTAATGAAAATACTAGAGGCAGCCCAATGGCAGTTCAGAAACAGTCATGCATCTCTATAAATTGTGTAAAAAAAATTCACCACTAGGTATAGGAATTGTGAGATGGGAGCAGCTGACTCATATGAATTATTTAAATCCTATTTTCTGTGCAAACTTTCCTTTTGCCAAACTCTCTGTAGCATATATGAGAAATAAGTCACTTTGCATCTTAAGTGAGGTAAGGACCAGACAGAGATGAGAAGATGTCTACCATATTCAGCATTGTCTATGCCTGCTGTTCTTACACAAGAATTTAGACTGCCCTGAGACCTCTTCCTTCAGCCAAGGTCACAAGCTGAGACAGGTTTGGGTAGCAAGAAATATAAGGTCAGAAAAAGGGAACATACAATATGAAGTTTAAAGAAATGGAAGTACAAGGCCTGTTAAAGAGTATGCCTATCAGCCATATTGACATGGTAAGAAAATTTAAGAAAATCTTACTTAATACCTAAATTAGTTAATGTCTAAAGATGTTAGAAAGTTTTGCTACAACTAATATGTATTGCCTCATATGTTCATGGAACACACAGTTGAACACAGTGCAGATTATTACATCACTTCGACCTAACATGACCTCAACTCAAAGGAGAGAGGTCAAATGAGCTGATTGATAACTGAGTTTGAGTTTCAAAGAATTTTTGGAACAATATTAATAAAGAGATCAGATTGTGATAAATAATATTTTTCCATATAACCTTACAACTTGTTTTATGCTATTCTTCAGCACATATGACAACCTAAAGAGCAATACTAAGAAAAGCTGTAGCTTGGAATAGTGAGATGTGATAAGTCAATCAGAAAAAAAAATCACTTCTATTTTAAAAAATTGCATACCAAACTGCAATGTAGTCATTCACAGGTTCAGTTTGGAGTAAGGTAAAGTTGATATAAATCCCATGGCCTGGAGGTACAATAATTAACCAAGTACAGTCTTTGGAATTCGGGTATTCATCTGGAAATCCTGGGGAATAAACTGTACCATTCTGAGCAGTTACATTATAGCCACAAGGAGCTGAAAAAAAACAAATGAAAAAATTAGTAGGAGAAAATATTTTTTAATATTATGGATAAAATATCAAAATGCTATCAAAATCTAAAAGCTCCACATGACAAGACAACCTAAGTCTTAGTGTCAGCATTTTCCTTGGTTGTTTCTCAGAGACAGTAAATAGTGGCATTTCTAAGAAATAATTTATACCGGTGTCTTAGATTTAATTTCTTAAAATCCATCAAAATCT